CACCAACTCGTTTAACTTCGGCTAAAAAAAATTCCTTTAAATTATAAGCAATAAAATAATGTAGCAATTTATCAACACATGGATCAATATCATGGAAATAAAAAATTGAAAAACAATAATGTTGACAGGTGTAAGTTGCAACATCCGTCATAATTTAACCTAACCAAAAATTGGTGAAATGGACTGATTTATTTAAGGCTTTACTTTTGTTTCTTTGTTATTTTTCAACTCTAGTGCATATCGAACAACAGTTGCTTCTGAGTATAAAATAAAACAGCGAATTTTGCTTCCAGTAGGAAAACGAAACTCAAATTACCGTATACTGGTGTTTTTCCGGGCAGGACAACGCAAACAAGCTGAATGTTTACGAATGATGTTTTGAGGTATTTGAACATCGGTTCTACTTGATCAACACCAACTGCATATTTGCAAAAGCATGGCTGCCCCATGATAGGCATACCCGCATCATTAGAGATTCGCTGCAGCTGTGTAGTGAAATTGCTGAAACAACAACAGTAAGAACTGCAACCCTGAGTTATAAATCGGTATGATACATTTGCAAAACTTGAAAATTATCCACATTGAAAATAAAACAATAAAACGTTTGCTAACCGGAGATCATTTTCTTTAACATGCTGTTGCTGTGCAAAGCATGCGATTGCCCAAACTTTCACCTCCACACCTGTATGGAATTGTTTTCCACGCATATCCCAAACACCTTGGTTGGGTAACGCTGTCGCTTTCGTGCGACCACCATAAAGCAACTTCGGTGCGTTCAGTACACGACCTTTTACCTTAAAGTATCGGAAAAATTTGAGTAAACAAATCTTATATATATGAACCACTGAAAAACTATGCTACAGTAATAATAAGAATTCATCGTTCTCACACAAACTGATGTGATACTGACATGAAAGTGCAGACATCTGCTAACAAAATGATTGAAAATTGAAAGTCAAATACACTGCAGATCTTACTTCTGTCATCGCCGGATTTATCGCAATACCGAATTCATGAGCAAATGGATCGGCATTGAACTCGGCTTTCCGAACCAAATTTGATATCTCACGCTCACGCTCCGGTGCAGACCGTGCTGTTGCCTACAATATGCTTACCGTCATTTTTTACAATTTTTAAAACATTCAAAAAACATACTAGTGGACTTAGCTACTAGGATTTTACTAATTCCAACCTTAATCATTGTACTGGTTTGTGTATCCGTAAGTTTCTTGATGCAACGCTGGCCAGGAACAATATTGCATACTTCCGGCGGCAAATATGTGTGTTTCTGCTCTTGACCCACTTGAAGGCATGGCAAATGCGGATACTTCAGTTGCATATGATATTTGTCGTAAAAGTATTTGGTAACCGTACAATCAATGGTTTGTCCCGAATCCAGTTGCAGTGGAAATCTATGAGTGTTAACGACTGATAAAAAATAAACATCACTTTCTTTGGAATTTCATTTAAATGTAACTACAGTTCTTTTCTAATTTTTTTAGAGAAACGAAACCTTTACCGAGATAAAAGCATGCACAGTTGCGCTGTCATGCTATAGGAGCAATCTGTCTCACATTCGGATGCCAAGTATATAAGCTATCACCAAACTTATATAACCAATACTTATTAAAACAAGCAAAAACATTGGTTAAAGAACAGCATTTTGAAAGCAGGGATATAAATAACCACCAGTTGTCAATAACTATTATCAACCTACATAATGCGAAAACAAACTAACGTTTGTACTTGTGCTGCTCTTCGAGTAACGTTACACACTCGGTATTTACGTCGCATCGAACCACAGTGAGTTATCTCAATTTTCAAACCACGTATTTCCTTCGTGAATTTAACACGCTGAGCATCTGACAGTGAACGGCGATCGGATAACGCTTGCACCGGTACCTCCAACACCTCCGCGATAAATTCGATCACCGGCATTGAGCGATAAAATGCAGTTGCCGAAACTGAAGCATATAATTGGAGCTAACAAAACAATAATATAATAAATCAATAATGTTACCGAACTAACCACCTACTAGTACAAAAATCGAAGGTTCCATTCTTTCCAGTTCCCTTAAATTGCACAAGACAAAGTTCATAGAGATGTTTCCACCGATATGCTCATATTTCCCTAGCAGGATATGGAAAAACGCATCTAGCATGTATTCCATCTCACAGATGCATTCTACATTACCCATTTCTCAATCAGAAAAAAATGCAATACCAATTTTTTGCCCTATATAGAAAAGTTAAACAGTAAAAGATAGCCGATTCAGTCAATCAATAAAACTCATATTGTTAAATGCAAAGTTGTGAAAACCAACCATCAATATTGAGCATCATTTTCCATTGGCTTGGCCGCACACTCTGATGGAAACCGAACCAAACTTCCCGACCACCACCGAGCTTACTCTCGGGATGATACTGTTGTGCTGAATGTGATGGACCATGTGCTGATCCTAATGGCGGCGAGAAGAATGATCGTCCAACAGGAGTGTATCTAAAATTCAATTGGGTTGCATTTTGCGACATTTATTTGACAGCATAACACCATAATGCAACAGATACAAAAGACTACACCAATAGCCCTTTTATTTGCATAAAGTTCAAATGAAGATGTGTGATGGCATACTTCAGACTAGGTAAATGTCGCAAAATTACATCCATTGCTTGCACAGATTCGAAAGGCACTTGACGGACTCGTCCTTCCATTGCATCTTCCAGAGCCGATAATGAAACCTGACGAAAAAAAAGCCATTCTTTTCAACCTTAACACTTCATAACACATACCTTTTTTTTCATAACATTTCATAACTCGAACGCTCCCAACGAAACAGAAAACTAACAAAAACAACAGATGAGTTACCGTGGAAACCCATTTAATAGCAACAGTAAATTGTCGGTCAACAGCAGAATCTCCTGGTAGCGTAACTTCCAATTCCAATCGTTCACGTCCAATTGGCAGTGGATCTCGAGTATACATATTACGTTTTCCGTCATATACTGGACGGATATTGCTGAACACCTTTTGGTAAGCACGAATCATGGTGTTCACAATTTCTCTAAAATCATGTAATTAAAATACAATCTGCAATAAGAGCACAAAATTACAAATCGCTAAAAACAAAAACATTCTGAACCTGTTAACTCGACGCGGGCACTTGTCCGGCTGCACATCAATAGAGTAGTGCTGGATATTACCTCCTGGTATACGGACAGCAAAATGGTTAGCGCGTAAAACAATTGCTCGTCCTTCTATGCCATGATTAGGTCTGCGAGGGCATTGAAATTGTAACGGTCCTATAGTAATATACAACTTCAGGATAATCATAGATGAACACGGAAGACAGAAGATGAATCATGTCCTAGGGGAAAGGAAGAATGATTCAAAACCACTCAGAAGACTCTGAAATAACAAAACAAAACCACTCAGAAGACTCTGAAATAACAGTTTCTTACCAGAAGGCTGTCCAGGTGGACGTTGTAGCGGTAGATTAGCTGGAGGAGGAAGGGGTGCTTCCGAGACATCACCACTTCCTACTGGTCCACCGGGAGCCAAAGATCCAGGAGGACGACTGTCGAACGACGGTGTTCCACCGCTACCACCAAGCATCATTTGCATTGGAGCAGGATTAACTGGAGCTAGTTGGTAAGCATCCTGAAAAAAGAAATGTACTGTAAATAATGAAATAATATAACAATGTTCGTATTCCGCTATCCATGGTGGTGGTACACTGTTATTTAGCAATGGTCACCAACGAAACTACATATTTGTTTTCATATTAAGCAGAATTCAGAAAATGAGTAAACCTGAAGTGGTGCCTGCAAAGCTGTTTGTTGTTGCTGTTGCGAAATATGGTACTGGCTGCTAGCGGCTTGAGGATACTGAGGATTCCCCAAAACATTTGGTACTTGCTGCAGAAATGGCTGATATGGCGCCATACCCGATGCCGATGTGCTCTGCCGATCTCCAAAATTAAACGCCTCTATAAATATCGCAAATATATGGAAAGTTGATCGTCCAAGTATCACTTTTTTAGATACAAATCTGCACAAGCATGGTTGCATCAAATCGATGAATGATGATTAATTAAGGTACTACATTCCAAAACATTGAAATTATGTCAAGATTTCGCCCATTGTCTTACAATTCCGGACTTGAATCTGGAATGTGAGATGTCTAGAAAAAGATATATAACTTATTCTTAGATCCATTGTGGCTTACAAAGAAACAAATAATGGAAAAACTAACCCAACAAACTTAGAACTTGTTGTTGCTGCTGGTCGATTGCTGCCATTTTTTGTTTTCAATACACTATGTCTAAATGGTTCGACTGTTACCGATACGGATGAAACAATTCAATAATGAAACATCACGAATGAAGAATCAAATAACCGGCAGTAAATAAAAGAAGCCGAGTAAACCTGGCAAATTACAGACCTGAGTTTTGCGGCTTTATAAACGAACGGAGTGCAGTTGAACGAAAGGAGTTAGATTTGCCGCTTAACCTATACCCACCTAATCGATCATTACATACAGCTATTTAACATTCCCTCACATTCCTAAACAAATGATTGCGAAAGTGCAATTAACAACCAGTTATTCCATGTTATGGTGGATGCGACTGCTTACAACTACGATCTCAGATATTGCAGATTCGAATCTGGACTTTAATGAACTGATTTCTTTTGCAATCTCCGATGACCTTATGGCCTATTCCAGACTTAAGCACATCCCAGACTAGTAATTTTGTTGCTCTTAGTAAAAGAAAACGGCTAAGTAGCACACGCTTCCCCTTAAAAGAATATCAGTGCATAGTTTTCTGAACAGTAAAAATATCAAATGCGTGGATTTCTGCGTGAACAGTAAGTACTGATGTAATAGATCAAAGGCATTCGGAAAAATCATCTAAATAAGAAAACAATCCTTACCTTATTGCTATTAATAATGCTCACGAGATCAGATATGAAAGAACGATGAAACTGATAACACAATGATATCATTCACAACAATGCATAAAGACGGCTAACGCAGCTATGTTACACGTTACGTGCCTGCATAAACCCCTAAAAAGTATTAAAAATTGCGAAAATACTGAAATGACATTCATTTTATCATTCGATTATTCCAACAACATTTTTTCCACACAAATAGATTGCCAGAACAACACTTTGGATCAAATACAAGTGTTATGCTCATAAACCAATTGTCACCCTTTGATTGTAGACTCAGACTATTCTCCTGACAAATTCTTGTTCACAATAATCAGCCAATTATTGTAGTATGTTATGTTGTTTTCACTTGTGCGTAGAAATGGTCACACATGTAACGAAAAAGTCCACATTGTCAATCGAGAAAATCATTTTTATTAATTCACATGTCCATCAAATTTCCTTAGTTTGGATATTCGCAACATGATATTTTCATCATCAGAATTTCGACGTTACCTTACTTTTACTTCAGATCGCAACAATATGCCCAAAATGAATCTATACTCCCACCACTTCATGGTAATTGGAATGGATACACAATAATGTTTGTCCGTCCGGTCACTCGTCCCACACATTCAGACAGCCTAAAAGGATGACCACCTTTTATGGCAATATGATATTTCCCACCATTCGAGTTTCGACATCACTCTTACTTCAGATCGCGGACAATATGCCCAAAATAGATCTATTTTCTCACTACTTAGTGGTAATTGGGATGGATACACAAGGATGTTCGTCCATTCGGTCACTCGTCTTATACACACAGACAGCCAGAAAGGGATGACCATCGAAGAAGCCTTCCTTCCTCCTCCATACTCACCACACAACCATCTCCGCTGCACCTCACAACATCTCATGCAATGCGGCTGAGGCGCGCGCGCCAAACACATCACGACCGCAACGCGTGTCATAACCAGAAGGTCAGAGGGAGAATACATTTGGAGGGGACGAAGGAAGAAGGGAAACAGACGAAACACAATAATAATCAACGGCGGAGATAGAAACTGTGAAATAAGAGCAAATATAATTTGAAATTTGTGAAGCAAAGAAAGAAAGAATACCAAGAGAGATTATGCAAAAAAGAGAGAATCACAAGTACTAGCAAATGATTTGTTCGTCGTGAAAAACATAGATAAGAGATGCAAAGAAAAGTTCAAAAGGCCAATCAACGAACTATTCGAAAGTACAATGGATAAAAGGAATAGGAGTGCGCTAGGGATGCTGTGGACCGGAACCAGAATTATACAGAAATCAGTAATTAGTAAGATAACTGTGAAATTCAGGAAACACAATAACTGATTGATTGATTGATTGATTCCTGTTAATCACTGTGGGGACGAACTGATTACGTGATTAAGTGAAAAACCAAACGAAAGGTCACGTAAACGTAGCAACAGTTCTCTAAACGTAAGAATTTTCCGGTTGCATTAGTGTTTTATTCTATTAATACAGGATTTCTCGGAGTATCTGAGAACGAAACCCATAAGAAATTATTCGATGAAATAACACTATCGAAAAGAAGAAAGGTTATTATACCTGCATATAGGTGACTTACTTAATGGTTACACTGATGGACATCTGCAATGTCCGACAATTTATACAATGCAAATTGACCAAAATGATTGTAGAAAAGAAAACATCTTGGAAGGAAGAGTTTACTACGCGGAGAGATACTTCTAGTTATTGGAAGGGTAGGGTCAAAATAATTGGAAGGGTCATCGCATTCTTGCTGTTGACCTTTCCTCCTTCTGGACTAAATCAATGAATGTTATAGATGACTGTTAGTGGGTATGGGTAAGAATGGCATTTGTGACGAAGAAAAGATATATGTACTACTCATTGGAGGGAGGAAGGCTGTAAGAGTAAAATGAAGGAAGGTGGAAAATATGGTACCTGAGGTTACAAGGGATGCCTTTTGAATATACACACATATATATATACACACATACACGTACACACACACACACACACATACATACATACACATACATACACACATCAAAAGAGCATCTAAGAAAAATAACTTTAGTAGAGGGAATGTACATTCAACCTTGTTGTGTGTACTTTATTTTGCTATCCAAAAACCATATTTATATTGGACGTCACTACTATGTATACGTCCACTGCAAGCTTTTTGCATATTTGCAAAAAGCATACAGATAACATTCCAAAGAGAAAGAGGAGTGAAATGAATGCGATGATGACACGTCACATCATATGAAGATGACCATCTGTACTGTATATCTCAGTTCTGTGGATATTGCAAGAAGGACAGTTGAATTGTTCCGCTGATGATCATTTTCAGCTAATGGTCATTTTCTGAATGATAAATCTTGCAACAATTCAACTTTAGGATAACAAAAAATTTTGACAAAAAAAAATGATTTTGTAAACAAAAAGAATAATTTTGATTGTGTGATAAATTTTTAAACAATAATGAGAAGTATATTGTCGTCAAAATTTCATAATATAAAGGGAAAGAAAAATGAGAAATAAAAAATAAAACAACAAAATAACATCGTAAGTATTAATAAAATTTTAATTTTCGGAAATGCAAAATGAAATCCGATGATGATGACATAAAAGACTTTGCAATTTATTGAGTGATGAAAAAAAAAGAAAAAATTAGAATAAATGAGACGGTAATAGAACTTGTAGATGGAGAAGGTATACATATTATGTTGAGTTCAATTTTTGGATCGTGGATGAGTGTATATTTATTGTCTAAAATTAGCATACGAGAATTGATCATCCGGATTATCTGGAAGAATTGCGCCGAAAAAGATTATTATTTCCGAAATGTTTGAAGAGAGGGAAGAATTTTATGAAATGAGCAGCGCATTATTATTTATCACAACAAATGCTAATAGCAATAGGTCACTTAACTGCAAGGTTATGTGACATTATGAGTTGCGATGAAATGATGTGGATTGTGATTCCCATCTACAAGTATTCAACTTCTCTTACTGCAGAAAATGAAAGATTGATGACCATTGATTATTGACCAAACACATTGTCACTTTGAAACAGTATTTGAATGAATTTTTAAATAAAATACTATTAATTACGTTATATACACTATGGTAAACGCATTTGACAGATGTAACTAATTTATGATTTAGAATTATGAACGACTTCCGATAATATTTCCATGAATTCGGAAAATAATTATTGATGTTCTAATTTAAATCATCGTCGTCTGATTTGGTTATTGGCTTAAATTTGATCGGAGAAAACTGATGAAACTAGGAATTAATCCGATTAATAACACTGAAGATAAGAGCCATTGGAGATTTTATTGAAAGGACAGTTTTTACTAAAACAAAGGGTTATTCGGTCAATTTCGGTTTAAGCAATGAAATTTATTATTACCAGTATAGCACAGAGCCATCCGGATAATTCCAGTGATGTGTGATTTCAAGTAGTAGACCGGCTGCAAACGGGCATGCAGATTTGACCTCCGGAAAATGGCTAACATGAACAATTCCGGAATATTCCATTACTTTATTATTTCGGTTGTATTTCTGTGGGCCGTGCGGTATTTCCTGGCCCATTCATGGTCAACTCTGGAATTTCTGTTTGTTTGTGGGGTTTTTTTCTTTTTTTAAATTAATGGTGTAGTGGATTTGACCAAGATAAGTAACCGGAACAGTAATGCTCATACTTTAGATATATCAGTTTACTGGTAACAAATAACTGGAACGGTAATGCTCATACTTTAGATGTATCAGTTTACTGGTGGCAAATAACCGGAACAGTAATGCTCATACTTTAGATATATCAACTTACTGACGAGAAAGCAGAGTGGTTAGAGGGAAACATGAATTGATAAACTTTTCAAAGTTTAATCTCGAAATTTTAGAAGAATGAGCGGAGTGGGAAGTAGTGCAATCACCATTTTTTTTCCGCTAGTTTTTTTTTCGCTTATCTCGATCATATAAAAGGTAGTTTTACTCATATTTCAGATAACTAAACAATGGGGAAATTTCCACATTCTATGGGTAAGTGAAATGACACCGTATATTCTGTACTATACTAACGTTTATAATGAGAATGATGTTATTCATATATCGCAAAAAATATACTGGTTAATTCTTTTCATAATATAACAAATAAAAAGCAAAAAAAAAATGTTACCCATGCAGTGGGTAAATTAAACAGTGTAATGTATTGTGCATCCTATGATTAGGAGAAGATAGTAATATGAGATATAATGTTGAGTTAATAAGCAATGGATAAATTTGACCATGCTTTATGAAGCATAATACATAACAATATTGCTCCATTTTATCGTTGTATCTCTTTTCCGTTTCTAGCAAAGATAACTGTCATCCGAAAATATTTCAGAATAAAATGACCATATTCAATTTCTATTTGTTTAATCGGGATGGCGCATGCGTACTGTATAAGGAGTGGAAACGGGAAAAGAAAGCAGTAATGTCAATGGAACAGGTGCTTTTCTTGATATTTTTTTTCCCTTAAACTTAATAAATCATACCAAAATATGCGCTACGACTTGTAATAATAATAG